TAGTTGAATTAGCAAATTGTTTGGGAGTTAATGGCAGGAACAAATACATGTGTGTACACTCATGCACATAGATGTGCCTTGAACACAGTTGTGTAAACTCTACTCCATAAGCAATCATAAGGCCAACGGAGAGGATAGAACATGCAGGGAACTCTAGTTGGAGTTATTCATAGAATTGTGTAGGTTGGAAAAGACCCTTAAGATCATCAAATCCAACTGTAAACCTAACACTGCCAAGTCCCACGAAACCACATCCCTAAGCACCACATCTACCTATCTTTTCAATACCTCCAAAAATGGTGACTCCACCACTTCCCTGGGCAGCCTGTTCCAATACTTGACAATCCTTTCAGTGAAGAAATTTTTCCTAATATCCAATCTAAACCTCCCCTGGCACAACTTGAGGCTACTTCCTCTTGTCCTGTCTCTTGTTACTTGGGAGAAGAGACCGACCCCCACCTTGCTACAACCTCCTTTCAGGTAGTTGTAGAGAGCGATAAGGTCTCCCCTCAGCCTCCTCTTCTCCAGACTAAACAGCCCCAGTTCCCTCAGCAGCTCCTCATAAGACTTGTGCTCCAGGCCCCTCACCAGCTTTGTTGCCCTCCTCTGGACATGCTCCGGCACCTCCATGTCTTTCCTGTAGTGAGGGGCCCAAACCTGAACACAGGACTCGAGGTGCGGCCTCACCAGGGCCGAGTACAAGGGGACAATCACCTCCCTAGTCCTGCTGGCCACACTGATACAAGCCAGGATGCTATTGGCCTTCTTGGCCACCTGGGCATGCTGCTGCCTCACATTTAGCTGCCTGTTGATCAACACCCCCAGGTCTTTTTCCGCCAGGCAGCTTTCCAGCCACTCTTCCCCAAGCCTGGAGCGCTGCATGGGGCTGCTGTGACCCAAGCGCAGGACGCAGCGCTTAGCCTTGCTGAATCTCATACAACCAAATGAAACATTTGGTGATTGCCGATACCCATACAACTGTTGCCTTTTATTAACTATTGATGAAAATTATCAAATGTCAGAGATGCCAGCTTTTCACTTGAAGTCTTCTCTATTCTTGGTGTAATGAAAGCTGAAGAAAAAGTGAAAGTAGCTGTGAAAGGTAAAAGAAGCATGCAATTTTTTTAATAACTTCTGAAACTGAGTTCAAGTGAATAATTCTGTGTAGTTGTTAAAGGAGTAATATTGGGCATTTTTATTTCTACTGAAAGAAGCGCGAGTTTTGTTTTCATATAAAAGGCAGTAATTTGTAATACAATTTTGTTTATTAAGGCTTATAATCACTAAATCTTGCATGTAAATGTTGCTGAACATGAAATATTGTCTTTAGCAATTTCTAAACAGTGCAAAGATTTGTTGGTTATATTTCAGAAATTATAAACTGCCAATAGATTATTTTTTTTCAGGCTATAATAATTTTTACAAAGGAAATTATATGATCATTATCCCTGCATAGTAACATATGGATCTCTACCAGACCTCTCAACTTAAAATAATGTAGGCTTCAAAATTAATAGGTGCTTATGGCTAATGCTGGTCTGAATGATTTGAAGAGAAAACATAATGTCCAGAATTTAATTAAAACAGGTATTAAAATGAAGCAACTCTTAGTAAAGTTCAACCCTGCAACCAGAAGATTTTATAGGAAGCAACTGGAAACCCGCAGGATGTACCTCCTGGCCCTGGGAGAAGATATGTTTTCCCTCTAACCTGGACACAATTGCTATAGGGTTTCATGGATGTGCTTCTATCTTTATGTGGTATCACTAACTTGTTCCTGTTTTATCAACTCACTGACACCACTGTTTTTATGGTCACTAAATCCTATGTGCACCTGTTCCCAAACCCGTTCAAATGAAATGAAGAACAAAGCTTAATATTTTGCTGTGTTGTCTGTTGTGAGGAAAACGATGTCCCAATTTGCACTCTAATTATTTCAACCTTACAAAGGAGAAAGATGGGTGGTGCTAAGGTCCTGAATGTGGTTGTTCTGCAACTTAAATGGTGAGCCTGACTAAGAGAGAGACCCTGTCTCCTTTTCCTCAAATGAGTTACATAACTATATGCATCTAAGAACCTAGTAAATAATGCAAGCTTGGCACAATTCCCTTTGGCATCATGTAGGTCTGGGGTTAGCTCAGCTGGGTTTAAATAAAGCCCTGGAGCTCCATTTAATAATGAAAAATAGTATCTGTTATATTTTAAAGACGCTATTTGTAATACTTGGTAGTAGTAGCTCTATGTATCTGTAAATGCGGTGTGAAGGTGGATCTTATTTAATTTTCTGCTTTGTTACAACTCTGTTATCATTTCCGTTTCTAATATAGCCATTAAGGCACCATTTTAGAATCATTATGGTTACTATACATTTTCATTTTTCAACAGTCTTAACTCATTTCTTTGGAAACAGTAGTAGAATCCTTCTTCTAAAAAAAACCTCTTACCTAGTTTTTAAAAACATATACAGTTGTTTTCATATAAGTATGTTGCTGTAGCCAGAATCTGGACGTGTATGTGTTTTTTTTACAGTGTGTTTACAAATATCTCCCCATATCCATGCAGCTGTCATTAATTTATCTTTGGCAAATGGGGGTATAAAAGACAAAATTGGAGTTATAGATAAAGCTGGAGTATCTACCATAGGAGCAGGACATAGAGACTTGTAAAATATTTGCTGAGAACTAATTAGAACATGCGCTGCTTCTATGATTGGTTTGCATCAGGCCTCTGCATTTGGAGAGGAAAAAATGATAAATGTTTAGATTAAGGCTGAGAGAACTTTTATTCTGCCCTGAGCAATTTCTGTTTTTTAAGAACAGTAGGTTTGGATGTCTGCAGATGCTGTATTGTTTACAATTAAACAGTGTATCAATAAAATAATAAACATGTAACACTGAAGTTGCGATTTCTGTTGATGGATTGTGCATCTGAGGAAAACTTTGTTATTAAGAAACTATGAAGGCCACTGTTATAGAACACAACAAATACTTTTTTCCCCACATTTACACTGTTATTTTCATATTCAGTTAAAATAAAACTGAAATCCACAATATCATTTTAGATGAATATTTCATTTTAAAGTTGCAGAGAAATTAGGATAAGGTATGTGTGACAATGTTGAGATACAAACTCAGTGATCAATGCCCACAATCAAAGCTGAACAAACTGCTTCACTTCTTCAGCCTTCTTTTAATCTTATGTTTGTTTCCTATGAAACAGTTCATAAACATTGTGGAGCCTGCTTTTATGGATATGCAAAGTATTAGTCTTTTTCAGAGTCTGATTCTCAGTGTAAAATCCATTCCATCTTTTATACCCTAAATGCTTGAGCTCATTGAGGGTGAATGAAAGAGAGCCTGGAAAAGAGCACATCTTTTGTCTGTCTTGGGAAACCACACTGCCCTTTCATGCCACTTGAGTGAGGGGTTGGAGCAAGCAAATGTCCAAGCAAATACTTAAGGTTTTTTCCAGTACCTCATAATTACTAAAACAACTGTGTGCTGATCCTGTAAAGATATTCATAGGGTTGATTACAATTATTAAGTGTGGTATTCATCTGGCTAGATGTCAACATATATAGCTGAGCTCAGCTTCAGCTCCCTTTATAATAAAGGGAAACATATGTGGTGATAGTTGAGGGAATATCCTAAAGAGCCTGTATTTATATTCTAAATGTACCTAATCCCTACCCTCCCCAAACACACCCCCTTCCCATTTTTTCTTTCTCACACATAATAGGAATTATGAACTCCAGCACTTTCATAAAGTCACTGTCTCTTCTCTAAAAATAAACAATATATTCTAATAGAAAAAGAGAGAGAGGAGCCAGGCTTGAATTAGAGGTCATAGATACAGAATTAATTTGAAATTTGGCAGTTGAGTCAGATAAGATTGGCAAGGAGATTTCCAAAAGGCTGCAACCGTAAATTGGAAATAAATGGAAAAGGATTATGTGAGTGGGAGACAGCTTTGAATCTATAATGCATGTCCCGAGACTGACTTGCTCATAAAAGAGCATGTGTTTAATGTGTCATAAAATATTTAAGCCACATTGGTCTTCATTTAAATATTTCATTTTTAAAGTTGGATTCTGGAGTGGCTAAAAATGAATTCAGCTTGTGTATCCTTGCCATTCATACCAAGGATAAAAAAAAGTATCACCAGAAAGTGTTTGGGGTTTTTTTTTCCCCATCCAGACTCATATTCTACAAGATTTTTTTTTTTTATGTTGTCTTTTGTGTCCAAATAATTTTTTTAGTCCTTGCTATAGCATCTGTTATATAGTATTCCTCTGAGAGAAACTATGGATCTATTATATTAGGAGGCAGTTTGGAGGCAGAGTGAGTTGCTGCCAAGAAGGCATTCATGTATGTGTGTGTGAGAACGTAGGTGAGTGACTGAGATGTCCAAAAGGGACACTTGTCTGTGTTCCTTCAACTACTTCTGTTCCAAAGATTATATATGTCTGTAAATAAAGCAAGATATATTTTGAATGCGCCCATGTTCTGCATCATTAGTTTTTTTCACTGTTGGGAAACTAAACTGTAAGAATCTGAACATCTGCTACCACCTGGCAGCTCAAGTGGCTTAAGGAAGGAGTGACAGCAGTTAGAAAAGACCACCTCTAAAATACTCTCTATTTTTCCTTCTGCTATTTTCTTTAACTTAATACAGTCTTCTTAATTTAGCCCCAAAATAATTTAGCTCAACACTGATGTTTGCACTATACCTAGGGAATAGTCTCTAGGGCTTTAAGAAACCATTTAGTAATGATAGAGGAAGAGGGAAGTACGTGACCAGAGCTGCACTCACTGCATCATGCTGTACGAGCACGTGGCCAATGGCCCTTTTGGACGTATTGTAAACTGGTGCCTGAGTCTGTACTTCCCCCTTCTATAACAGCATGTGACATACAAATGAGTCCTCACTTCTCCAGTATCACTCTGGTGCATAAGACTTAGTCCTCCCCGGTTATAATTGTTTTATACTATTCCTCACAGGTGAAATCTGTGCTTTTAAAATCCATGGACAAGAAATGCCCTTCGAAGCTGTTGTGCTAAACAAGACATCTGGTGAAGGTCGACTTCAAGCAAAAAGTCCTATTGACTGTGAACTGCAGAAGGAGTATACATTCATCATCCAGGCCTATGACTGTGGATCAGGACCAGGTGGAACAAATTGGAAAAAATCTCACAAGTGGGTGACAATGAGGAGAGTTATTTTTTTCTTTTTTTTTGCTTTGGCATACATTTGCTCTACAGTACAGATCAGATTGCAGGGCTCCTTTTTATATTGTAGTCAAGTAGAAGGCAAATAAAACCAAGACGAACCATTCTTGCAATAGTCCATCCGCTTTTTATTCCTTTTTTTCCTTTTAGAAAATATTTTTCTCTTTTGCCTCCTGCAGTTTGACCCATTCTGCAATGGTTCCAGTTGAAGCTTTTAATAGGATGCCTGTTCAAGTGGAGAAACACATCTCTGTCTTGGTTTATTTTTCCATTCTTGCTTTAATGTTAAATACATTGACAAAACAGATTATCCAGGACATGGGAGCTAGTTTTAGTTGATACTTACAAATTCTAAATAGGTTTTGTCTCTGTTCATCTAATTTCAAATGGTAAGAAAAGAAAAATCATCCTTATTTTTTTAGTACGTGCATGTATATAAGCTGCAACAGTGTTGCCTTTGCACAGTGTGTTTCTGACCTCAGCTTTTGGACAGCAAGTCTTAGAGGAATTCAAATCCTCTGGAAGAGGTGGGTATTGAAGGTTAATAGGTGGTACTTTTTATTGTGGAGCCAATTCCCTGCATAAGCTTAAGTGGCACAGTGCCTATTTTCCCCTTCAATTCATGAAACCAAGGTCCAGAGCATTTGTCATTAAAGATGAATTTAACTCACGTGTAGATGTATAACTGCTGTACAAATTGTTCATTTTGCTGAGAGCCATTTAAATAAATGATTAATAGTAATCATTCTTCCTTTTGCTCATCCAGGATACCTGACAATTAAAAATTTAATTAGCTCTATAATGCATGCTGAACTATGTCAGGATATTTAAAAATAATACACATTTAGAAGGAAGCCTCCAATATCAAGTAACCATCAAGTTACAGAAACAGGTTTTGCTTCATATTATTAAATTTTATTATGTTTTTCCCTCGCATGTCAGTAACAAGCTAGTACATTCTGCTTGTGGAAAATTTTAGTCTAATCCTGACCAAATGAAATCTGGCCTATTGGAACCAGACTTTGTTACACTTTCTCATAGTGGTTTGTATAGTAAGCCACACAGTAAGCTAGACTGTCTGGGGTCCCGACATTTACTACTGGCTCTGCCGCTGATATAGAAAGTCACTTCACTTATCTGTCCTTCTGTTACCTCACCTATCAAACCAGATAGCAAATTCTTGCAGAGGAAGGCCTTCAGAGTTTGCTCATTAAATACTAAAGGCCTGTTATTTTTGACCCTCAAAGGTTTACATGTACAATGTTGTAACTAATTAGGTAATTATAATCAGCAGAAGGTGAGAGGCTTATTTAATATTGAAGAATGTTCGTAAACTGACCATTTTTAGCTAGCGAATATGTAGGACTAGTATAATTCTCTTCCTCTTTTTTTGTTTATTAACCCATTTCACACTGGAATGATACCACTGACTTTCTGCTGGGGTCCATTTTAAGAGGCAAACTGATTTTAACAGGGAGTGCTGTGAAGCCCTCTCCCTACAAGCTGTGGCACTAGGTTTTTTTTGCCAGGTGCCACATGAAGATACTAAACTGGGCAAATTAAACATAGTAATTAAATAATATCTCATTTTAGAAGATGTCTACATAGTTTTCTAGGTATGTTTTGTTAGTCTTTTAAAGTGTTTTTGAAGCAAACTATTAGTGATTTGTCATGATTAATTAATTTTTCTCTTTGATGTGTTTTTTTACCTATTTTAGGGCAATGGTCCATATCCAGGTAAAGGATGTTAATGAGTTTTCACCAACTTTCAAGGAGAGTGTGTATAAGGCCACTGTGACAGAGGGAAAGATCTATGACAGCATACTGCAGGTAGAAGCCATAGATGAGGACTGTTCCCCGCAGTATAGCCAGATCTGCAATTATGAGATTGTCACAACCGATGTTCCTTTTGCCATTGACAGAAATGGTGAGTATGGAGAAGGAGCAATTTTAAGTTCTGGGACAGATAGCAGTAATTTCTGTAGATAGTGTAATTACCTACTGATACTGGCTGATAACTTGGCTTGAGTTTTAACTCAAGAAAGTAATCCTGTTCTCATCTCTGAGAAAGAAGGAACCATTAAACTGGGAAATTCCATCCCTTCTACATAAGATTTGGTCAGAAAGTGCCACAGTAATTTATTGTGGAAATTAAAACCCCAGTGTTAGATAAGCAATACATTTCTTTGCCACTCAGTCCATTCTTTTGTCTCAGATCTAGTTTCCCATCCAACTGATGACTTTTCCTAATGCAGCACGTAGCCCTACCTGGTAGGGTTTATTCACTGGTTTGTAGCTAGTCCCATTCTTCTGAACTTTCTGGAGCAGAGTCTAAATGTAGAATTGACAATATTGTGGATATTTTTATTGATTGTTGAAACTTTCGGGGTGTGGGTCTGCAGATCTACCCATTTGTGGTGCTTCCTGAAGCAGGTCCATTATTCTGCAGTATGGAAGAAAATATGCTTTGGGAAGCAGTATCATTTTTTAATGGGTTTTAGATTTTAGTTGGGTTTTTTTAATGTATATAATATTGTAGGAAAAATAATAAACCATATTAAGTTTTCCACATGTAGCAATTTTTGACCTTGGCGGTCCTGTCTGTCAGCTTCCTGCTTTTCCCCATCAAGTTCTCACCAGGGAAAACCACAGAACTTTACTCTGAGTTTGGGAGAGGTGGCTGGGCTGCATTAAAAATGTGTTGAAGATCCTCTCTCTTATTCTTTGCTTGCTCCAAACAATGCAAAATAATAGCTTTGTCTTTCAAGTACTTCAGCAGTCCCATATTGGCATCACTTTGTAGATAAGAGTCCTTGTTATTGATATTCATGTGTGCACACTTGTGCAGAAGTTCAAAATGGAAATTCCTGTGCTCACAGAACTTGTTTCCCCAGAACAAGCACCCTGTGTGCATGCCCAGCAACGCTCTGATTTATCTTTCCTAACAGAAGCATGTAATCAATGTTGTATGTAGGAGGACAATACTCTTTGGAGTTTAAATCTGATTTTTGGCCAAACTGGAAATTGAAAGTATGAATGGAGCTACTTTTTTCTCTGCAGTCATTTTTATGTTGAGATGTTTTATAAAAACCTTTTCCCATATTCAAAAATGATTCATTTTTATTTGTGCAGTTCTTGCACAATGCACAGCTGAGCATCAAAAGATAATAACCTGTTAGCATCAATAAATTCTAAATGGCATTGGGGAAAAAGCCATCTTGTTATAATGCATTGGGAGGCAAGTATACTATATAGGAGGTATAATCATAAGAAGTATGTTTGTGTTTAAGTAAATGAGGTCCGCTGACACAGTAATCTTTTGCCAGAGCAATTGCACCAAGAATTTTTTTACAGGAAATGGGCATCTGAGAGTAGATGTTTGTGTGCAAATTCCTAGAAGCTTTTCCTCTCTATGGATTTTTTTCTAATTGTCAGATTCCCATGTTGTCATAAAAGGAAGTTCTCTGTGTTTCTGTTTGAAAGCATTATTTTCCAGAGCTTCATGTGACTTGCCAGTATGGGGCTGGGTACTTACACAAGTCACAGGTGGTTTCATAATTTCATACCAGGTTTGTTTAAAGGTATTATGGATAAATAATACACTGAGATTAGCACTATACAGAGCAGACATTTCTACTGCTTATTCCTTTTCAGCTCCTATCACACAGTGCAGCTGGCTCATGAGTGGTCATGGGTTCCTTCCAGTCAGAGGCATGATCAAAAGCATGTGAAGTATCACGAATCCTTGGTTACGTCTTTGTCCTTGCATGCTTGGGACCTGCTTTTCAGCAAAGGCAATGAGAAAATCACTGATTTAAACATGACTTTAAAGCCTGCAGCGAGTAATTGGTAGAAGGTTGTAATACTTGCAGTTTCTTGGTCATGAATTCAATTAATATTTTTTGATCTATTTGTTCACCAAAAGCACAGTGCTACCACAATCAACAGTAACTGCAGTCTAATTTGCAATTTTTTTAGATAATGCTAATTGCTTAAACCCACTGGGGTTAGAGACAGAGTTAGAATAGATGGCTGCACTTTTATTTTGTGAGAAATATGTTGCTTAGTTCCAACACATTTCACTGCTGAGAATGTCTCTCTATGCCAGCTGATATAAGCTTTCTCTGATCCAAATTCTTTGGCATTGTGCCCATTTTTTGTTACCTATAGGATGATTGAAATAGATGTATGAGATGCCTAGGACTGTCTGTTAACACCATGCTAATGAGGATTTTGTTTATAGGTTTTTTCATCCATTGTGAAAAACAAATCTAGGTTTGTCGTGGTTTAACCCCAGCCAGCAACTAAGCACCACGCAGCCGCTCACTCACTCCCCCCCCACCCAGTGAGATGGGAGAGAAAATCGGGAAAAGAAGTAAAACTCGTGGGTTGGGATAAGAACGGTTTAATAGAACAGAAAAGAAGAAACTAATAATGATAATGATAACACTAATAAAATGACAACAGCAATAATAAAAGGATTGGAATGTACAAATGATGCACAGTGCAATTGCTCACCACCCACTGATCAACACCCAGCTAGTCCCCGAGTGGTGATTCCCCGCCCCCACTCTCCCCAGTTCCTATACTAGATGTGACGTCCCATGGTATGGAATACACCGTTGGCCAGTTTGAGTCAGCTGCCCTGGCTGTGTCCTGTGCCAACTACTTGTGCCCCTCCAGCTTTCTCGCTGGCTGGGCATGAGAAGCTGAAAAATCCTTGACTTTAGTCTAAACATTACTTAGCAGCAACTGAAAACATCAGTGTTATCAACATTCTTCTCATACTGAACTCAAAACATTGCACCGTATCAGCTACTAGAAAGGCAATTAACTACCCCAGCTGAAACTAGGACAAGGTTCTCGTGTCTTCTGCAAGTTATGATTTTTTCTTCTTTTCAGTAACATAAGTGTGGAATTTCATTGCCTGTTTAACCAGATGCTTAGAATCAAATCTAAATATTGCAGAGGACCCCAGAAGTACGGGGGGTGTGAGGAAAACATGCCATTATCAGTTCCAGATGGTGGGTTTTTTTCACCACCAACCCATGAAACTAACCATAAACACAGGCCTTCAGAAAGATGAAGATGCTATTCTATCAGTTGTTTTCTTTTGTGAGATCATAGTCTTTTTAGGCAAAACTTATTTCTTGATTCTAGATCAATCTAGGGAGCATTTTGTTGTCTTGAAAAATCGTATTACAATCGGGGAACATTTGCTGAATGGAAGAGAAAATCCTCCAGACTGTAGCAGTGCAGTCTACTTCACATCACCAAACTGTGTGAGGCACAAGTTGATAGGCACCCAGCACTGGCACAAGAAGCAGCATCCAGCTCTGGTATAGTTCTTGTAGATCTTTGTAAGTTAGGCACCTAAAAGTAGGTAATATAAAGCTTCCCATTTACAGTTGGCAACTTTGACCCTTGGTATGTAATTTTTTGTGAATAAAATTACAACGTTTTATGAAACCATAAGACTAAAAAGAATTGAGTCTTGTATATGATGAGCCTAACTTGGAGGGTAATGAACTCTTGGTCATAAAATACAATCATGTAAAGACAAAGGAAAAATTTGTGCTTTGCTATGCAAAGGATTGGGACTAAAAGTATAAGATAAAATATGTTTTAAGAGACTTTTGCATGCAGTTTATTCTAATTGTCTTCTTAGCAGAGAATCCCAATCATCAAGTGAGTTATCATATCAATATTGTGTAGGCTTTTTTCAGGTAAGAGAAAAATTAAACCACAATGCATGGATCTGTTTTAATGCCAGCATAACAACATTTAATGCATTTTCTGCCTTCATTTGTCAGGGATCATGGTGACATGATCAGAGAATTCAGATACAGATGCGAATTGTCACAGCTCTGATCTACTGGCATCTCTAAAATGGGGATAGCTATATTTGCCATCCCACCACTGAGAAGCACTTCACAAATACATATCAGATTGTTCAATATGAAGATTTTGCCGAGAAAGGTTGGACCAGATGATAGTACAAGTCCCTCCCAACCTGGTATTCTATGATTCTATGAAGATGAGTTACTGACTTATCTGTACAGTCAGTACAGGTTCTATCAAGTTACATACTGTAGAAAATAGGTGTGGACAGGAGCTCATGAGGTCATCCTTTACAGCACTGAGATCTGTGTTAGGAGCTATGCAAACTTCATATTGTCAGAAATGTTGTGAAACTTTATAGTTAAGCATATGCATGTGATATTTATTTATTAAGCCACAATTTCTTTCCATTATCATTCAAAAGTGCACCTTTTTGACAAGAAGCTATTCTAATCCTTCAACTGACTTATGGTCAAACACCTCCTGGTTGGCGGCTCTTGGCAGCTGGGAATGTTGAGCTGCCGATCCTATGGGCAGACTGAAATCGGAGGCCACTCATGTAACAACACTAGCTCACATCTCTTCTAAGAGTTAAAAGATTCAGTTTTATACTTCTTATACACACAGGAAGTAGGTATATGGAATTTAAGAGGCAATTGCCATAGTAAATCAGTCAAGTCTTTCCCCGTTCTTGTGACTGCTCCAAAATAAGATGAAAGATAGCCATAAAAGAGGGAAGTCTGTATCAAACTGACCCTGAAGAAACAGAGGTGTAAATGTGTGTGTCCTCCAGCAGAAATTTTTATATTCCTGTTGTCACTTATCTGTTTGTTGTTTTTTAAAATGTTATAGCTTTGGATATTTCCAGTAAAAGGCAGAGATTTAGAAAGACTGAAAAAAATTAATTTTATGGCCTAATTGTGAACTGTGTAGAAAAGTACTTACTTCTCCCATTAAAATTTTCTTTTTTTAATGTTATTGATTGCCTTTTGTTTATGGGTGAGATGTAAATAGAAATTCCGAGTCTATAGTCTCTAAAACTTTAATTAGTCTGTATTTTTAGTGCTTCTCTTCTGTGTCTACTTTTTAATCGTATTGATTAAATTGTAAAATAACAAAGAAGCATAAAGCATCAGAGGTAACAGAAAAACAGAATAATTAAGAAATCAATAAACTATTGAGTAACATCTGCAAGACATCCAAATGACCTTTCAGAATAACACCCAATAGTCAGAATCTTTGTAGTCCAAATTTTAAAAGACTGTAAAGAAATACAAATCTTGGAAGACAGATTTAGTGAAATGCAAATGTGTTGTAATGATTTATAAATCATAGAGGACAGTTAAATGTGCCACGCAAATTGTAGTGGTCTGCTAACGTAGATTCAGACAATTTTGCTTTCTTGAGAATTATCTCTGCTGATCGTGGACTAAAAGAATACCAAGGAGAACCAAATAGGGAATTATAAAGATTCATGTAAGAAAGAATATCATGCAGAAAGGAAAGAACAACTGAGCAGTTATTAAATGAATAATTAAGTATACAGTGGCAGTTTTTCTTTAAATCCTCTTAGGCAGGTACTAATCAAGGAACTCAAGACAGTGAGATGGGTAGCTTAAATTGTTTTGCCAATTTCTAACTCAAAAATAATGAAGTTGTTGATATTGTTATTGCGGTTGCTTTTGTGATGGGAAGAGCTATCTACATGGCAGACTTGAAAATGCCTGGCAAGGTGAAGTGCCTGAGAGGGAGCCAAGGAAGCTGTAGGACACAGTACTGTTTCCATATTAGCCTTCAGCAGGTCCTTCTGCTTCTCCATTTGAGAAATAAAATTAGCAATAGGGCTTGTCCCCCCTGTGCCCTGCTCAGAAAGGGGGGGGGGGGTAAAGACTCAAAGTTGACAGAAAATGGGGTATTGGGCCTGATTTATAGCTGCAGATGTAAGGGTCTACTTAAACTACAAATTTTGAACCAGAAGATGGTGATAATTGCAAAAGCAGTCTTTCTTCAGGCCTGACCTGAAAAGTTTTGCATCAGTTTCAATTAAACTACTAAAGTTGGCTTTAATATAGTAGTAGTCAGAAAAGTGTTGGGCTTTGACAAGATAAGGAGTGGCATCAGAGAGAGACACCTGCTAAAAGTCTTTACTTGTCAAACTAATGGAAGTTTAGTGAAAGACTTATTTAAGAAGTTTCGTTTGTCTGCTTTCACCTGTCTCTCATTCATTTGAATGAAAAAGAAACAAAACCCCAAACAATGCCAGCATGCCTAACAACAGATACTTTAACTAGCACCTGTGGGAATCAGAGCACTATGATTGACTAGACTCCAGGATCTGGGTGCTCCTTATTCCAAATTTAGCCCAAACAACTTGATTTTGCAGATTGTGCTTGAAAGCAGTTGTTATATCTAAGCATTGATCCCGAGTAAGTTTGTTTCTTGAATTCTAGAACAAACATTCTCATTCAAAGAAATGGTATAATAAACAGCCCTGAGTAAAAGTGTGAAACATATTAAACAGTCTCAAGTTTCAATTTGAGGAAGAAGTGCATTTTGGTGGAAATGGACAGAATTAAAACGCTGAACTCATTAATTACAAAACCATACATTCTGCATGGTAATCTTCCAATCCTGCAGGAAGTACTCTGAGAAAGATCTTTCCCTTTCTTTGTAGAAGTTGTAATGTCTTTGTTCCCAAAACAGGTAATTTGTCACCTTTATATATGTGTCAGGTTCAGTAGATAATCTCTGTTGTTGCCGAGTTTTATTTTCCATGTGCTGTCATATCAAATACCGCTAAGCGCTCTAATGTAGAACGTGATTCTGGGACTTTTCCTTTTTTTAAAAAAAAAAACAGGGAAAGGTGTTATAGGGCTAAAAATCTCTCTCACCTAAAGGGTAATAGCTTTAGGGAAGAAAAGAAGATACTTAGGCTGGGGAGATGTTCAGCAGTAGATCTCGAGAATGCGACTGCTGTGTTAAAGCAGTGTATTCTGGGAAGATGTGGAAAATGAGGTTGCACCTACTTATACTTTACATTTCAGGATGTAACTGCTAATTAGTCTTAAGTCTTACTTTACAAAGTGTTGTTGAACAGATGTTTTCTAATATAGACATGCCCATATTATATGCCTAGCATCTTGTATTTGCCTAAGAACTTCCTTATTTCTCTGCTGGATTGAAAGAAAATACTTCCCATTCCTTATAACTGTCCTGCCTGTGGATGTCCCATGTACTTCAGAGAGCTTTCTGGACACAAAGGACTTCACCAACCAGGACTCAAATGTTATAGTCTGTATATGCTTATCCAAGAAGTAATTTCTGAATGTTATCTTATATTGAATCTATAGGTAACATCAGAAACACTGAGAAACTGAACTATGATAAACAGCACCAGTATGAGATAATGGTAACAGCTTTTGACTGTGGGCAAAAACATGCAATAGAAGATGTCTTAGTACAAGTTAATGTCAAACCAGTGTGCAAACCAGGCTGGCAAGGTAAGGTTTAATGGTTCATATATTTTAATTTTTGTTTAAATCTCTTTTCTTTGTTGTTTTCCCTCCATCTCACAGTAAGGAAACTAGGGTGCTTATTGCAGTGGTATAGAAAACCATTGCTATTTCTTTTGCTTAATTCATTCCAAGCCTGTTAAAAAAGTGGATAATAATCCCATACTTGTTTACATTTGCCATGTTTCTTCTCTAGTCAGAACAAAGAACAGATTAGAAAAAAGGATAAACTTCTAATTAAGCTATCTTATAATTCTGTCTGAATATACTGCAACATATAAAAAAATGCTTCTGATTTGCCTTTCTCCTACTACTCCTTTAAATAAAACTTTTGAAGCCACCATGACAAGGTAGTTTTCCCATGTGTGCCAGAGTTGTTCAGATTATCTTGTTCCAGGTACAGAATTGGCTTTCATGTGCATGCATGCATGAGTCGAGGCACGCTCAACCGGCAGTGAGAGTGAAAGGCAATTTTTATCTTGATTACTGTCTTCCTATTGAGACGTTTCTGTAGGAACTGATTTTCTAAAAAGATTCTAAGAATCTATGCTCTGTCTAAAATGGAGAAAAACACAGCTGGCAAAGTACTAGGAAGATGGATATGCTACAAATTATAAGGAATTATGATGAAAATGAGGGCTGGATTAGGGACAAATGAACTGGATGTAACCACATTATGCAGATGTCATTCAGGACTAACCTGACCTTAATAATTGTAATTTTTAAAGACAATGATTGAGAAGGAAAAAATCAGTTTAGCTGTTGTACTTGAAGGTAAATTTGCAGACTGACATTTAGAAGGAAAAAAGGTTTTCTTTGTAAAATGAGAAGCCCTGATCTAGAGGACCTTGTAATGAAATGCGTGCAATATCATGATTCCATTTTCACAGTCCTCACTTAGAGTAGAACCACATTTTAATTTTCCAGGGATGTACTAGTTCCCCACCCACCCAAGTATTTTGAAGAGCATTTTTATTTAAACAAACAAACCCCCTATGAACTATTTCCACATTTTCTGATCTTGTTGTTCAAAACCCCATGATTTATTCTATAAAACCAGTATGGTCTCTTTACACTGTAGAAATGTTCTGTTTTCATTTTATGGAGTCATCTCAAATAAATCAAATACTCCTAAATTAGCTTGGAATTTGTATTAAAATGGGTGCGACTGTTGATTTTTTAAAATTTCACTTAGGTGTTTTATTGATTGAATAATTTCTGCAAAGACGCCTTACTAATGGTGTGTTTATATTGTCCGATATTGTCACACTTATTTCATAGTTCAAGCATCAATTATAGGACAGATGGTCATTGCTGGTCCCATCAGGTGGGTATAGACACCGGGTAGCCAATAGTAGTAATTGAAACAACCTCAAATAAGGTTTGTTTTGTGGTTGGGGTTTTTTTGGATGCTTTGTTCATCTTAGATTATGTGAAGAGTTTACAAGGTATTTAAGTTTTTAATGAAAAACTGGAATTCAACTACTGTTATTTCATGCATGCAAAATTTATATTCTTCTTTTCTAGAAGTCAGAACTGTATGTGGCTGATGGTTTGGTTAACACTAGGTATTTAATATGAGCAGCTGCCAGCTTGTTATTTTTAGTGTAATCGTGAGAAAGTAGACAGAGAAAACAGCATATGTAAAGCAATAACTCCTAAAAAAAAGAATGCAATACATAAGAAAGTTTAAAGCAGCTTATTTAAAACATCTCAGATGGGAAAGGATATGCTTTGTTAGCGTTCATTATGCTTGAATTTGGGCTTTTTGTTTATTTCTGTGGCAATTTGGCACAACTATTCTTTGTCTCTTCTGATCTGATACAAGTTTTATGATGGGTCTTTATCATAGGCAATGTAAAAATATGAAATAGCTCAATATGTTCTGCTCAGCATATTCCATGCTATCCATGTGGAATTGTGCCCTTCCATCTGTCAAACAGGTGACAGCTTCACTTCACTGGCATGTCTCCAGGTCAAATGGCACAAAGTGCAAGCGGATAGTGTTTGCCTACTCAGGGTATAAGGTAAACAATTGGGTAGACATGACTTTAGTTCTTAATTACTATGTCATTAATTATAATTTGAAAATGAGCTACAACAGAATGCTTCCAGAAAATTCTACATTTCTCTTAATGAGATTCTTTTATGTCTACTTATTTTTAAAGGTGAAGATAATGAGATAGGTGATGTTGGTTTCCACTTTGAGCCAATATCTGTAAAAATTACCTGTTGCTAGGAAAAAAAAAAAAATCAAATAAGCAGAACTTACTAATAGTATTTCCAGTACTTAAAGAGGAAATCTGGAGACTGGGAATGGAGGATATTTATAGTGTTCTTTCTTCCCTGTGTCTGTGACTCTCTGTGATCTCCCCACAAAGAGGCAGTCAGCAGGTATGCTCCATCTTCTTTGAAATAATGATATATTTGAAAATATTGGATGACTAAGGGAGGTAAAATAATGTTTTGCTTGACAGAAAAGATTAATATTCTGAGCTGTTGGTTATAATATAGAAGTTGCCAAAATATGATATATGGGGTTTTTTTTTCTTGTTCTTCAGTGTTAGCTTGAACAAATAAATATTTGGAATTTCAATTTATATCTAGTTAGTTAGTTCTTAAAGTTGCTGGCTCTAGTAATCTGAAATATTGTGCAGTTCTTTCTGTGACTATTGTGAATAGAGATTGTCATAGTCTAATGCAAATTCAGTGTTAAAAATTTCAGTGCAATAGATTTCAATGCAGATGCCCTTCAAATAACCTCCATTGTTCAGGGGTGGGACAGGGAAGAATAGGTTTACATAAACAATGTATGAAATTGTTCCTGTTTCTAGAGGCCAACTCCACATGACTAACATGTAGCAGAGCAAATAAGACTCAACAAGACAAGGTGCTATCCTTTAAGCAATATTCCTTTGGGCTAATAGCATTTAAGTCTTCATTAAACCTAGGAGCTACTTCCCTACTCTTTGAAGATGGACATTAACATATAATCAGCAAGCATTCCCACACAGACATTTTCAGCAAACAACAAGCCTCCACTCTATTAAGAGGCTACTTTAGAAACAAACTTGACCCAAACTGACATCAAACCATTCTGAGCAGACCACTTTGAAATGTTATTAGTATCCTAAGCAAGCTAAAAATGTAAATCAATGAACCTAATTAATTCCTAATCAGTTATTTTAATTGAAAAGTCTTGTGAGTTTTGTCAACTGACTTTTACAGCTATGCTACAAATTCTCTTCATGCTATCTGTGTGTTAATTTCCATGATTTTCAGACAATGGAGTGATCACTTACTGTCAGGTAAGTAAAGAGACTACATTATAAAGAAAAGTTAGATGATAGTATTTCTGACACCATGATAGGTACATTTGCAGTTGAAGTTATTTCTATTTTTTGTTTAATTTTTTTTGTTTTAAATGCAATTAGTGGGTTTCCATGCTAAGAAAAACCCTATTATCTTCAGCACATTCCCTGGGATTCTGTCCGTTCTTCCAGAACTCTACCTTTGTTTCAGTTCTATGGACACAGAGAATACACTAGACTTTTTCCTGTAGATTGACTTCCAGTGTGGTTCTTTTTACTACAGTAGTTTTAATGTCACAAATACTGATTTCTGTAACATTACATCTGCCTTATTCAAAGTAGTGTAGACAGACTTCTGGCAACATAGTACTAAATATGCATATAGTATTTTCCTTAAAAAACCTGAGGTGAAACAAGAAAGAGTCAAAACCCGGTAATCTACACCATGTTTTCTGTAGCTCATTTATGGTACCATAATATTGTCTTTTTTCTTTTCTGCTACTTTTAGGAACAGTCTTCATAAAACTGAAGAAGTTACTGTCCCCCCTAGTGGGATAGCAAATGGAACTAAAATATAAAACAATGTGCTAAAAGGTGCAAGATAGCAGAAAATTGAAAACAATTATTCCTGTACCAAGCTCTCTGATGAATGATGTACTACATGGGGAGAAATAAAGAGGAGTTTAGCCTCAAAACATGAAGGGCAGAATCATGTACCCAAACACTTAAAATATATTTTGAGTCTGCTAGAGATCTTCTCAACTATTGACAATTAAACCAAAAGTCAGGTTGTTCCCTAAAATGCAATTGATTTCAGACAGGAAGCAGTTATTAAGGCATAAACCAAAAAAGCTCCTCTAAATGAATCAGTTGAATACCCCAATAAATTATCAGAGGACTCTGTGTTTCTGAAACAAACAGGGAAGGTTGAATGTGTTTCTTGGGGGGATAAGTATGTAGCAAAGACAACAGTCCAAAAATTAAGTCACATTGTCTCCTCTGACCAAAGACGACTTAATTTTTTTTCAGCCAAATTTGTTATGACCCTTGCATAAGCAATGCTCACTAACCTCCAATTGAAAAGAAAATTTCACAGCATCTAGCCTGAAATGTTTTACTAATTTAAAAAGATTTCCTACACTTACCTCCAAGTCCTATGAACTCATATACACCTGAGGTAACAATATAAAGAAGTTCCTTAAAAATTCATCTAAAAAAAAAAAAAGTTCCTTAAAAATTCAATGATTTTCCACTTAGTGTTTACTTAAAAATGATTTTGAAATAAAAGCTTCTCTTTGTTTATTTACCTAATATACTATAAAAATATTTACTAAGAGTAGTTAATGTCTCAAAGATACTGCATGTTACTTCTTTTTAAGGCATGTAGCAATCACTAAGGTGACCCAGGGCTTTGCTACCACCAAAAGGCACATTCTTCTCTTTAATGTTGAATAGTCATTCAGAGGCCAGGTACAGGTCAGATCAGCTTGCTTTTCCTGCTGAAATATAATCTTTCTTTTGTTCAGAGAAGGGCAGAACCTTCTCTTTTGGTAGCAGAGTGATCTTACATCACTTTTGATTCAACATACTACAGAGATGCTATTTGCAGTAGATGCTGAGTGATTTTAGAAATGTATTCATGTGGGCTTTCTAGTAAAATCCAATTACAGAGGAAAA